AGCCGGGGCCTGGGGCAGGGGCTGTCGAACAGGAGGCAGCTGAAGGCACCGTAGATGCCGTCACTGAGGTGATAGACCAGGCTCTTCTTGCTGCCACACTCTTCCTCTGGAAAGGAGGGGTGAGAAGGTTCAGGTGGGCACAGGGGACACAGGGGACACTTTGGGGAGCAGGGAGAGGGTTCAGGTGGGCTCAGGGACACAGGGGACACATCAAGGAATGAGGAGAGGGCTCAGAGGGGCTCAGGGAATAGGGAAAGGGTTCAAGGGGTCTCAGGGACACTGGGGACACATTGGGGAGTGGGGAGAGGGCTCAGGGACACAGGGGACACATCTGGGAACAGGGAAAGGGTTCAGGGACACAAGGGACACATCAGGGAGCAGGGAGAGGGCTCAGAGGGTCTCAGGGACAGAAGGGACACCTCAGGGAATAGGGAAAGGGTTCAAGGGGTCTCAGGGACACAGGGGACACATTGGGGAGCAGGGAGAGGGCTCAGGGACACAGGGGACACATTGGGGAACAGGGAAAGGGTTCAGGGACACAAGGGACACATCAGGGAGCAGGGAGAGGGTTCAGGGGGACTCAGGGACACAGGGGACACCCCTGCTGTCACACCTACCATCAGATCCAGGCTGCTCCACGGGGATCTCCTCCAGGGCAGTGATGCTGACAGCCAAGGTGAAGGCAGAGGTGACGAAGTAACGCCCAGGCCTGGCAATAATTTCCACCCCGCTGCCCTCAGGGAAGTACAAATCCAAGGCAGAGTTTATCCCAGCAGCAATCTGTGAGGGAAGGAAAAGAACCTTCCCTTGGGTTAGCTGGGAATTCTGCACGGAGCCAAACCCAGGGAGAGCTCCCAGCTCATTCCCTGCCTGCTGAGGGTGGGTTTGGAGGTTTGTACCTCTTCCAGCGGGGCTCTGGTGTCCTCAGTGGCAGGGAAGCCTCCCCCGATGTCCAGGAGGTGCATGTGGTGTCCCAGCTCTGTGCCCATGTCAAACACCAGCTGTGCTGTGGCCACAGCCTGTGCCCAGGCCTGGGGCTCCAGCCCACGGCTCCCCAGGTGGAAGCTGAGGGCACAGACCCCATCTCAGCAGGGTCTGGTCACCCCCAGAGCAGAGGGGACCCGGCCCTGGGGGTGGCACTCACAGAGTTTTCCACACACTGTGCCAAGCCAGAGCCACAGAGCCTTTCCTAGGGTCAAACCTGCCCCAAATTAGTCCCAACAAGGTCAAATTCCTGCCTTCACCTCATTCCCAAGAGCAGCTGGAGCACTGACCCAAGCCAGACTTTCCTGGGGTCAAACCTGCCCCAAATTGGTCCCAACAAAATCAAATTCCCTCCTTCACCTCACTCCCAAGAGCAGCTGGAGCACTGACCCAAGCCAGACTCACAGAGCCTTTCCTAGGGTCAAACCTGCCCCAAATTAGTGCCAATAAAATCAAATCCCCTCCTTCACCTCACTCCCAATGACCCAAGCCAGACCCACGGAGCATTTCCTAGGATCAAACCTGCCCCAGATTGGTCCAAATAAAATCAAATCCCCTCCTTCAGCTCCCTCCCAAGCAGAGCAGCTGCAGCACTGCTGTTCCAGCAGGGCAGAGCTCCCCAGACCCCCACCCAGAGGGGCTGAGCACCCCCAGGGAAGGAGCCCCAGGGCTGTACCTGATGCCAACAACCTCCACAGCCTGGTCCTTGGCTGCCTGCAGCAGGTGCCCA